AAAAAAAATTTTTTTGATGGTGTGCTGCCGAATTTTAGTAATTAGTTTATGTGTCATGAGATGAAAGAGGTTACAAATGGCTGCCCTAGAGCCTTCAGCAGATGCTGGAAGGAATCTGGTCTGAGGCTCACAAAATGCCTCCCTTGATAGAAGATCCCAAGATTCCTTCCACGTGAAGGATGGCGCTTGGTGCTTCCCTGGGCAGCTGCCTGGACCTCCCTCTGTGGAGGGAGCTTGTGTACTCGCACATATATGTACTCACAAGTACATGTTTGGAGACCTCCACCAAGGGTCCCTCTCCTCTCCTGAGGCCGCCCTGCCCCTGTCCTTTTGTTGAAAGGCATCCCTAAAAGCTCAGGGCTTCCTCCCGCTGCTGTTTCATGGGATCTTCATTTGTCTAATTAAAGTGAATCTGATAAAGGCAGGGTTAGCGGAGACGCGTAAGCACTCCAGTGAGCGCAGGTCATGGCCCAATCCAAAGAGGGGCCTTTGTGTCTCCACCCCCGGGCAGTGGCCAGCTGGCAGCAGGGCACCGGGGGAGTGGGCAGAGGAGCCAAGATCAAGGCGGGAGGGGGCTCTGCTGGGACAAGCTGGACTGACATCCTCTGTTCATCATTTGCAAACACATCAGAAAAAAGTAAAAAAAAAAAGAGAGAGAGAGAGAGAGAAAACTCTGGAAATCAGGAGAAAAGCCTTTTGGAAACGAGTGTGGGGGGACTGGGGCTCAGAGAGCTCATTGAGGCCTGGCATGCTGGCCTCTTGTCCCTTCACCTGCCCCTTCCGGGCAGTGGCAGCAGGGAGGGAAGAGAGGCTGAGGTTAGAGCCACTGCTCCAAGCCAAGTGGGAGGGTCCGACCCGGCTGACATGGATCCTGTAACCATGGACACCGGTTACCCAACTGCCGAGGGCTCCCCACAAACACACTTCTTCAAGAGCTCGGACCTCTGGGCATGGTGACACCACCCACCCCGCCCTCCCTCAGCATGCTGGGAATTCGGAGATGACCTGGACAGGCCTGGCTAGCTGAGATTTTCTGTTTGCTTCTGCATTTCTGTTTAAGTTCCTCTTAGGTGGAGGGAGGCAGTTCAGCGAGGGGAAACCAAAGATGCTGCTGACCAATGAATTAACCAAACTGGAAGCATCTACTCAAGAGTCGGTGTGCAACTGGGCCTCTGCTGGGGATTTGGATGGAAATGAGGAGAAAGAGGCCCTGCTCTCACCGAGGAGGCTGAGCTTATGTACATATACAGCTAGAGAAGCAGGTGGGCGCACTCCATGAGCTGACAGGACCCGAGCGGAGCACAGCCAGGGTGCTGAGAGGAGAATGGGGTGGGGTGGGGCAGGGGGCAGCCTGGTGTTGGGGCGGGCATTCCTAGAGGCGGGCTTGGGTGGGCTTCACGCATGGAGGGCGAGGCCGATGGAAAGAGGACAGGGGCCCAGGGGGTCTTCATTCTCCCGGGTTCTTACACCAACTCTGTGAGTTTGGGCAACTCACCCTCCTCCAGGGGCCTCGTCCATGGAGTGAGAGTGGTGACAGGGTTGGCGTCTTTACTGACCAGTCTAGGATCTGAAGCACCAGGGAGGGACAGGGGAGAATTCCAGGTGGAAAGGAGCACTGTAGCATTTCTGACAGGATGGAGACAGCTGTCAGTCACTGGAGGAACCACGGCCGAGATGCTGGGAACAGCTCTCCAAAGCTGGGGAAAGTGGCCCAGACCTTGGCTCATTCCAGTCCATCTCAGGGCAAGGGAAGGCCTGTGGCCTCACTGGGGCCTCAGACAAGCGGCTGTATTGTGTGTGCCCAGCTGGGGCGCAGGCCAGGGCCAGTGTCATGGGAACTGCCCCTCGCTTCAGAGGAGGGATGGGAGATCTGGCCTCAGTGGCCCCGCCTGGCGCCTCTGTTCTTGGCAGACAGTTTTGGGGCCACGTTCCCCAGCTGTCCCCGTCATCTTCCCACAAGTCAGAACCCCAAGTCAGAGCTGAGTGTGCAGAGGATACAGGCAGAGGGTCGGTAGCTTTGGTAGAGGTGCTTGGCTGACCTGGCAGGGAGGGAGTCAGGCAATACATGCCCAACCACCCTCTCCTTCTTCATCCCCTTCTCCTTGCAGTGCCCCCTAATGGCGGAGGCCCAACCGGAAGCCAGAGGCCGGGGAACCTGATGATGCTGTTCACACAGGAGCTGCGGGAAGGGGAGCTGGCCTGATGGGGTTGGGACAGACAGAGGGAGGGTGGAGAGGGGCAAACCGAGAAGTCCAGCCGGGCCGGGGAGGAGACCGGGACTGTCCCCGTCACTATTGCCGCATAACAAACAGCCCAAAACTGTGGCCAGACACAACTGCAATGTTGCAATGCCTTTCAGTTTCTGTGGGTCGAGAATCCAGGAAGGGCTGTGCAGGGCCGGTCCGGCTGGCGGCTTCTCACAGTAATGGACAAGATAGGCGCGGAGCTTGATGGGTGAGGGGCTGGAGGGGCTGGGTGGGAGCCAGCCAGGCATTGTTTCTTCTAGAAAGCTCTGGCCTCCCTTGCGATTTCTCCACGTGAGCCAGTTTGGGCTTCCACACAGCACACAGCTTCATGTGGCAGATCCCTAGCGGGGGACTTGGGGCTGCGGCACGAGGGTTTGGTGAACCCGGCAGAGGCAGCGTCACCTTTGCTGACCCACACTTGCAGGTCGTCCCCCCGCTCCAGTCTAGTGGCCAATCAGTCACTAAGTCTGGCCCAGGTTCCAGCAGAGGGACCTTAGTCCCCACCTCTTGATGGGAGGAATGTGGTAGAGTCTGAAGATGTGGGGCCCCTTGGGTTGTAATTGAATATTACTTGGGTGTCGGCCACCGTTGTGTGAAAGTGCTTGGAGGAGACGGGCAGGATGGAAGCTGGCGGCGTTGGTAGGAAATCGGATCTTCTGCATTTCTCCTCTTCAGGACAGAAACTCACAGAGGGAGAGTGACAGGTCAGAGTTCAGGCAGGGCCACCCCTAGAGGAGCAGGGCCCTTTCCTTGGTCTTGAGGCTCTGTGCTCAGTGATACAGAAAACGGGGCGGTGGGCCGACCCCTGGACCCCCAGGGCTGCTCACTCAGTGCTGGAGAACCAAGGCCAGTGGCTCTGGCTCATTTCCCTCCCTCGTTCCCCTCCCAGACGCCTGCAGCCTCGCTCCCTGGAAAGAAAGGCAATTTGGAGACTATCAAAGCGAACGGCTTTCACTTTCAGGGAGCGGGCTGGGGAAGATTGCTTCCAGGTGGCTCTGCAGGGCCCCTCCCAGTGCGGCTGGGGCCAAGGGTGGGCCCGGAGGTGTGGGCAGTGGCCTGGAGAGCGGGCTGAGTGGCTCCCACTGCCGGGGGGTGCCTTTCTCCAGAGCTGTCGGCGCTGCCAGGTCTTAGCCAGGTCCCAGCTCAAAGGCCCCCTCCTGCCCTGCCCTGTGGCTTCCCATAGGACCAGCCTCAGAACCTGATTGCGGGCCCCTGCTCGCCCGCATCTGGCTGCAGCCTGCTCCTCAGGGGAG